CCTGCCGTCACAAACAGCCCCCCCCCCCTCGCTCTCCGCACCCCCAACGCCCACCTCTCAACCAACACCCCATCCCCAGGCAGCCGCAAGACTGTCAGGCAGCTGCAAGACTGTCTGAAAATCCACAGAACCTCAATCCCTGATCACTATCAAGATCCTGGCAATGTAATCCCCCCACCTGGATGACGAGCTCCACGCCGCTGATGTCCAGGCCGCGTGCCGCCACGTCAGTGGCCACCAGCACGCTGAACTTCCCGCTCCTGAAGCCGGCCAGCGTCGCCTCGCGCTGCGCCTGCGCGATGTCGCCGTGCAGGGCGCGCGCCCCTATGATCTCCGACAGGGTGCCTGCATTGGCAGAGCGCGGCGCGGGTGTGTCCAAGCGTTCAGGTGAGGTTGGCAGACGCGCTCACGTGGGTCACGCAGCCTGCAGGGGCTGCTGAGGGGCAGGCAGAGCAGCACTGGCCTGATTTTGCAGAGCTGCCCAACCACAAATATGTGGATCATTGCCTTTGGAAAGCAACAAACTCCCATGCACAGGCAGGAATGCACACTCAGCAGCAGCAACTGGAAGTGCAGCGTTTGACGAATTGCACAACCCCGTGCCGCACCCGCGAGCTCGTTGGCGTCGTTCTTGGTCTCTGTGAAGACGATGCTGCGGCCGCCGCAGCCCCAGCACTTCACCAGGTCAGTCACCAGCGCCGCGCGCTGCGTCCAGTGCGCCGGCAGCATGAGGTGGCGCACCGTGGTGGCGGCCTGGGGGGCGGGCGTGGCGGAGTGGCACGAGGGGGCGGGGTTTGCCAGGATGAAGCAGATACTGCCGAGCTGCGGCGCCACAAACGGCCAGCAGCAGAAACGAGCTCCAAAAGCAACTGCACCTCGAAGCGTGCGCCAAACCAACTGCAAACCTCCCGGGCGCAGGCCGCCCGCCAGCCGCGGCCCGTCGAGCGGCCGGCCCGCCGCCGCCAGCCTGCCAAGCGCCGTCACTCGGAATGTCAACGATCACAACACCTCCCTTGCCCCCGCGCCCACCTTGATCTTGGAATCCCCCACCAGGTCCACCAGCTTGTGCCCCTTCCTCAGGAACCGCCGCGTGATGTCCTTCACCCACGCCGGCATCGTCGCGCTGAACAGCATCGTCTGCAGCTTCTCGGCGCCTTCTGCCGCCGCGGCGCCCTCCTTGCTCAGGCCTGCGTTAAGGATCTTCTCCACGTCGTCCACAAAACCCATGTTGAGCATCTCATCGCACTCGTCGAGCACGCGGAAGCAGAGCTTTGAGAGGTCCAGGGTGCCGCGCTCCATGTGGTCCTTCACCCTAGGTTTTTGAAGTGTATTAGGGTGGGTGTGCGAGCGTACAGGTGTGTGAGTGCATGTGTCTGGACATTCGGGATCGCGGCACTTTGTAGCTGAGTTTTTGCACGCGTGTGCATGGAGGCGTGCGCGCGCATGCGTTGTGGGAATCAGTCACCAGCCTTGGTGCTTCAAGCGCTCACACAGAGCCAGATGGCCTGCACCGCCGCGCAACCCTCCGCCCCAGCCCCAAGTCCCACTGCTGCACTGAACACCTTCGCCTCCCAAGCTCGTTTCTTCCAACCACCATGCTCCCTGCTGTGACCCCCGGCCGCCCCTTGCGCACCTGCCAGGCGTGCCCACTACGACGTCCACGCCGCGGCGCAGCATCGACTCCTGCGGGCCGTACTGCGTGCCGCCATACAGGCAGAGCGTCGACAGCCCCGCAGCCTGGCCGATATACTCAAAGTCGGCATGGACCTGTGCACAAGGGTTGTCGAGGGTGCGGGCTGAGGATGGTATTGCCGGCGGGTTGCGGACAACCCAAATGGCAGGCGCAAATACAAGCATTGTTCCCGCCGGCTTAGACGGCCGGCCGCGTCGACGAGCCCAGGCACACGCGAATGGGCCTGGGGCTCGCCGCCCGACGGCAGCAGCTGCCGCGCACCTGCTTCGCCAGCTCGCGCGTGGGGGCGAGCACCACCACCAGGGGCTTGCGCCCAAACGCCCGCTTCGCGCCGCCGCCGGCCTTGAGCAGCGTCTGGACAATCGGCAGCACAAACGCGAGCGTCTTGCCGCAGCCGGTGCGCGCGCGGCCGACGACGTCGAAGCCGTTGAGGGCGTGGTCCAGGCAGGCCGTCTGGATTGGGAAGAGGGACTCGATGCCCTGTGGACGGCGGCGGCGGCGGCGGTAGTATTGGGTGGTTGTGGGCGTGGTCAGTGAAGCAACGGCGTTCAGGCCGCACTTGCGGCTGCGGCGCGGCCACAGCGTACACCGCTGGCGCGTAGAGCGCGGCGCGGCGGCCGCCGTCGTTGATGCTGCCCGGTTTTGTCGCCGCCCCCTGTGCGGCTGATGCCTGTGTGCGTCGCACAGCGGGCGCGCCACCCCGCAGCACGCACTGCGCACCGGCGTGCATGCTGCCCCGGCCGCGCCCCCTTAAAGGCTGCCAGGAGCCCCACCTTGGAGCGCAGCAGCGACTTTATGTTGTCGCTGAGCTGTGGGAAGTTGTCAAGAGCGGCTGGGTCCTTGGCGGCGGGCGCAGCTGCGCCGCTCGCGGCCGCGGCGTCCTCGCCCTCCGAGCCGCTGCCTGCCGCGGCCTTCTTGTCCTTCTTCTTGTCTTTGCTGCTATCCTTCTCCTTCTTGGCCTTTTTAGCGGCGGGCGCAGCATCCGCGGCGGCTGCGTCGGGGGCGGCGTCGGCGGCCGCCGCAACCTCGGTTACGCTGTCATCCGCCTTACGCTTCTTCTTGTCCTTCTTCTCCTTCTTGCTTGCGGACGCGTCACCATTCATCAGCTCGTCGGTGGCAGCGGCCTCCTCCAGCGCTTTCTTCTTTTGCTTCTTGACAGCCCTCTCCTCGGCAGAGTTGCGGAGCTTGTCGGACGCCATGTTGGCGTTTTGTATGAAAGGTAAACAATCGAGTCGTACAGGGTGGATTATCACGTCGAACTTGGCAGAAATAGGGATCGGCGTCGCCAAATGCGACTTCGAGTGCTTCGCTAACGTCTCGAAGTATATTTCGATGAAAGATTTCACGTATGGCTTCAGTAGCATGGCGATCCAGGAGTTGCCACTCGGCACCGCCGGCCGCCGACGGGGTGCGCCCGTCGCACAGCACTGCTCAACTGCGTGGGAGCGCTGGTCACGTCAACCTAGGCCCAGCCACCTCTCACGACCGCCGTGGCTGCTTCATCGGGCTGCCCATATTTGCAACTCCACCTGCAACCACTACTGACATGCTGAGCTTACAAATGGCTCACTTAAGTTGCCCTTGGTCAAAAGGTCAACAGGTGGCGCTTCCAGACAGAGCAAGGCGGCGGCCTCGCCTGGCATTGCCTGGCTGACTTTGGCTGCCCGATAACGTCGGCATCAATCCATCGCAGTGGCCACACGCCTGACCAGGTTACATCCCTGACCAGATGTGTCAGCTGCGCCGCTTGAAGAAAACCGTTGAGGGAGACCGGTTCATGCACACAGCGGCCTCACGACCAGGGTACACGTCGCAGCGCGGTGTGCGGCTCAACCTTCAAACTCGCGCTTGCAGGAACAGCATCATGCACGGATTTGCGTATTCAATCATGCAGGGCTGCAGTCGTAAGCCAGTCGCGCACCAGGGGGCGACGTGCAAATGGGCGTTGTGATACAGGCCGCCAGGGGTAAACATGAGATTCGGAGGGCCTTGGGTTCGACGGTGCATAGCAAGATCAGCATAACGGCACTTGGTAAACAGCGCAAACCAGCCATACACCGACTGCTTGGGCGATTGCCTGCTGCACGAGTGCGCACGCACAGTGCGCCTCTGTCCATCAAAATGCACGAGTCAAAGCCAAAACTCCAGATAGGCAGGAATGGTATTCTGATCAAAGTAATCATATGTGCAGAAACTGAACAAGGGGCATTTGAATTAGCATGCACAAGTCCCCTTATGCCAGATAGATGGATACAAAACTGCGGCGCTGCGCGCTTGACACACGACAATGTTTGAGGTCATCCGTTGCGCTAGTAGATAGATAGAGCGCTTGGTGGCCATGGCGGCCATGCCGGCCTCTGTATGATACCTGTACCAGCTACACTGCTGCCACGCTGCCGTCGCCGCTTTGGGGCGGCAGCTTGAGGAGGGAAACAGACACCTTGACGAAGGCGTCCCTGAACGCGGCGTGGTTGGGGTTGCTAATGTGTATGCCCACTTCCCCTGACACGTGACTGTGAAGGATCTTGTAGCTGGTGCGTTGAAAGCGTGGAGGTGGGTGGAGGAGTAAGGCCCAAAAAATCATGCAAGTCAGCAGAGTTCAAGGATCCACCCCGATGATTGGGTTATAGTTGCAAAAGGGCAAGCTGCAGGACCAGCCTGATCCCGCGGCGGCCATTGCGGAGACGTCTCCACTCCACGCAAGGCTGCACCCCACCTCCCTCCCCTCGCACGAGCCCAGCACCCTGACATACTGCGAACAGCTTCTCACCCTTTTTGGGGGGCTGAGATTATGAGGGGCATCTGCCCGCTGGTCTTCCAGCCCACCAGGCTGAGAAAAATGTCCTCGCCGTTCCAAAACGGGCTGCTGTGGCCCCTCGCAAACGCCTCCGCGAGGGGCGAGTAGTCGAAGAACGCGCGGCACAGCCGCCGCGTCGCCAGCAAGGCGACGGTGAGAGCTATCGGGTGCCGGCCCGGCGGGACCTCCGCCATGACGTAGCCCGGCCGCCCCGCCTGCCAGGTGCGCCCGAAGAAGCCGACCAGCGGCGCGTCCGGCGCGGAGCGCTTGGCGGCGACGAGGGCCTGTATGGCGGCGCCTGACAGCAGGATGTCGTCGTCTTGCAGGAGGACGAGTTCGTGGCGGGCACGCAGGCAGCCGAGGAACCTGCGTGGAGCGAGGCGAGCGGGGCCGGCACGGGCGTGCAGCTGCGCGCGTGCAGCGTGCTTGCATGCAAGCATGTGCGTGCGTGTGTGCGCGCGCACACACACGCGCGCATGTGTGTATGTGTGTGCATGCGCCAAAGCGACCAATAATCAGCTGCGACGCCACGCCCGCCCGGGTCGCGCCTGCTGGTGAGTCCGAAACGCAGGTCTGCGTTGTAATCGATGAGATGGGTGACACGCGGATGGACATACTGCGGGCCACCAGGCGTGGAGGAGGAGTGATGGAGCAAGTGAGCTTGATCTGCGGGCTTGAGAGCGGGATGGAGCGAGGCCACCAAGGTGCATGCCGTGCCATGCGCCCCCCCCCCCCGCTGATCGCCCCCAGCCCATCCAGGCACCCACCTCGAACGTCGTGTCTGGGCGCATGTGCATCAACACCACCTCCCCGACCAGCGCGGCAGCCACCAGGCCGTCAACGATCTGCTTGACGCTATCTGGCTTGGCCCAGTTCATCACGACCACCGATACCAGGGCGCCCGGCCCCGGCGCGCCGCCCTTGCCGCCGACGCCGCTCCTGTCTTCCGCCGGGGCGTATGGCTGGCCCGGTTGCGGGCGCTGCAGGTCGACCACTTGCACGTTGGGCCCGCGTGCCGATGCAGTGGCCGCCGCCGCGCCTTTGCGTGACTGCGGCGGTTTTGCGTCAGCGTCGGCTGCGTGGATCGCCGCCGCCGTCGCCGCCGCCGCCAGCGAGATGTCTCGAGCCGTCATCACCAGGCGCGTCCTTGCGTCGGCCTCAGACGCGGCCGCCGCGGCCCCATACCCAGGCGCCAAGGCCGCATTTAGGCGCTGTGCCGTTGGGTACCGCGCGCTGGAGCGAGTGATACGCCCGCGCGCTGAGAAGACCGGCTGAAGCTGGACTTCGTCGGTATAGTCATCGCTGCTGCTGCTGCTGCTGCTGCTGCTGCTGCTGCTGCTGCTGGGGCGGCTGGTCGTGGTGGCTGTCGTGGTGCTGCCGCTGATGGTTGTCCCTGCACCGCTGATCCTGGGGCCGCTAGCGCCGTTCCCAACTCCTGAACCAATCTGCCCACTGGAGGATTGCTGTCCATCGACTGCAGTCACGCTGCCATCAGCAGTGCTCGCAAGTGGCAGCACTGGCAACAGCGCGACGGTGCACCCAGCCGATAGCAGCAACAGCCAGAGCCAGAGCGTGCGGCTGGTGGCTGTGTGCAGCACAGAACAGGGTACCTCCACGCGCTGGGGCGTTGAGGGCCCCCGACTTGGCGGGCGTGAGGGCTTGGCCGCTGAGGGTGTTGACATGCCGCCAAAACGCGACAGTTGCCGGTGTCCCCACGATGGTTAGCGCGTGGCAGGGGCGCGATGGTGCAGACTGCTTGCCTCTACAGCACAAAGCACTGCGAAGAACATTATGACAAGACTACACAGTGCAATCACAGCAGGAACGCCTCGTCCCCCAAACAAGCCGGTGTCGCGAGCACAGGGCGACACGTCCCTGTTCGCAGTCGCCACCCCTTCTCCCGGCCATGATCATGTGTTACTTTGTTGTTACGCTGTCGCTGAGCCCGTTTGTGTCCATGGGATGGTCCGAGTGCTTACCCATTCCATGGGACGAGTGACACCGCGTGGTTGTGTGATCACTATGTCAAGGCTATCAAGTTGAACTTTGTTGATTCGCTTGTGGCAACTTAGTAAGTGCAGAGCCACGATCCACGCGCGCTCTGACAGCACCACGCGCATCCAATATGCAGCTTTCAGGGCCGCTGCCTTTACACAGGCAAGAAAACGACGCGTTTAATCCATGCGTCACCGCCGGGGCACGCGGGCCGTGCACATTGGAAGGCTCAATGGCGGAGACGCGCGCTGCCGCTCCAAGCCCACCACACACGACGCGCCCGCGCGTGCTCCCGCCCCGCACTGCAGGCGCGCCGCGCGAAGCGAGCCACGGTCGCAGCCGCGCCATGGAAAACACTCCGTGTGTCATTCGCTGCCGGAGCAGGCTGCCAGGTGCACAAATCGAGGCGGGAGGTTGGGGCGGCTGCGGGCCAATGCAACATTGCAACGTACAGCACCGTGTGGCCCAGGGTGCTGCTTGCGCACGGCTGTGGTGCTGCAGGCGTGTTATGGGCCAGGCAGCCAAATACAAACCACGTCGCTTTCAACGGCCTGAACACCATGCTCGCCCATCATCTAACCTGCACGCGAACACAACAGCTTGGCTGGCCGCATCCAAGACCCTGCCACTTGGAGCGGCCTGGAGCCCCATTTCGGATCAAAGGCGGCGCAGCAGCTCGCAGACCAGCTGCTCAGCGGCGCGGCCAGCCTGCCTGGGGCCCTGCCAGAAGTCCCAGCCCTCTCTGGGAAGCTGCCCAGCCTGCCGCAGCTGCCGCAGCTGCCTGCAGGGGTGAACCTGTCAGGTCTCGCGGATGGGCTCCCAAAGCTGGACGCATCAGGCCTGGCACAGCGGCTGCCCAACGCGGGCGGCGTGCAGCTGCCGTCAGCGACGGACCTGAAGCTGCCTAGCGTGCAGCTGCCGAGCGTGCAGCTGCCTAGCGTGCAGCTGCCCGACAAGCTCCCGGACACCTCGGCGGTCTTCGACGCGGTCCGCGGCACTGCCGCATCCGCGGTGGAAGCTGCTCAGCACCTGCCGGAGGAGGTCGCCGTCCGCATCGCCCTGCTGCAGCAGCTCCTGTCGTCGGCGCCGGACGCGATTGGCGGCTCGTCGGGCGCCGGCGCGCTCTCCAGCCTCGAGCCGCACTTCGGGACGCGCGCGGCGGAGGCGCTGCTGTCGCAGCTGGGCGCCACCATCGGCGCGCGCGGCGCGCTGCCGCCCATGATGCAGCTGCCGACGGGCGCGGACGCGATCGCCACCGGGGGCCTCGTGACAGGGGTCGACCCCGCTGACCTGGCGGCAGCGCTGACATCAGCGTGGGGGACGGCGGGCGACCAGGCCGCCGCCCTGCTGCCGCCGGCCGCGGCCGCCGCGCTAACAGCCGGCGCGGCGGTCGCCGTGCAGCAGCACGCGGTGGTCGCGGCGGCAGCGGCGGCGCAGGCTGGCTCCCTCGTGGCCGCTGCCGACCAGCTGCGCGCCGCCGCGGCTGCGCTGCCTGACACAGGTTTCGGTGGCGTCGACTTCCCAACCCTCTGCTTCGCGGCCGCGGGCGCGCTGCTCGCGACCGCCTTGTCCATCCCGCCCCCTGATTACGAGGCGTCGGCGACGGCGCCTGCGCCCGGCGGCAGCAGCGGCAGCAGTAGCAGGTCCGACCCTCGGGACCCTCCGCTGACTCACGATTACAATCCAGAGGCGATGGCCGCCTACTTCCGCCGCCGCCCCGTCGCCGTCGCCGCGCGCGCCGCTCGGCTCGCATCCGAGGTCGCGGCGCTGGGGCTGGCGGTCGCGGGGGACTTCGCGACTGGGCGCGTGGCCGCGAACGAGCGCGCGCGGGCGGAGCAGCTGCGGGGCGCGATCGAGCGGCTGGGGCCGGCATACGTGAAGGTTGCGCAGGTAAGGCGGGCAGGGACCCATCACACGTGCTGGCAGCGCTGGGGGTCCGCGCTCGCGCCCGCGACAGGCCTGCAAGGATCGCAACGCTGCCGCACCGCAGCAAACACAGCCCACAAGACCGCGTCCGGTAAAAAGGCCTGCTTTTTGCGCGCTTCCCGCCCACACCCTTGGCCCTCAGGCACCCTCTTCACCCCTTGATCTGCCTGTCCCTCCCTCACTCCTTTCCCCAGGCGCTGTCCACGCGCGTGGACCTGCTGTCGCCGGCCTATTTTGAGCAGATCCAGCTGCTGCAGGACAGGGTGCCGCCTTTCCCCTGCGACGAGGCCAAGGCGGTGAGGCCGCGCTCGGCGCAAAGAAGCGCATCTTCTGGCGCTGGACGCACGCTATGCGCAAGCAGCAGGGGGTGTCGGCGTTGTGTTTGCGACCGGCGACGCCGCAATCGGCAAAGTTTGCCAGGACAATTTGCAAACCGAGCTGCCGGCCGGGGTTGAGCTGCCAGGGGCTGTCTTTCGTGAGCTGGCGCGCACCTGTGTCATCCCCCTGACCCCTGGCACGAGTTACACAAGGCGCCCGATACAGCCGGCACGCCTCGTCCCCCCTCCTCTCGTCGCCCCGCAGGCCATGGCGGAGGCGTTTGGCCGCCCTGTGGAGGAGGTTTTCTCGCGCCTGTCGCCGCGCCCCGTGGCGGCGGCGTCGCTGGGCCAGGTGTACCGCGCCACGCTGGTGCCGCAGCTGGGCGGCGGCGAGGTGGCCGTCAAGGTGCGACATGGAGCTTTGTCGAGCTTTGTGAAGGCGGAGCCCCTGAGGGCCCCAATGACCAGCTGACGCCACCCACCCTCACTGGCCCTGGACGCTTGCAACCACAACTGCCATTGCATGACACCATCCACCCTGCGTCTTCCCTCCACGCTCCCTTGACCCACATAGAGACTGACCCCACCAGAGCGTCACGCCCATGGCCACCTCACTCGCTTGTATGCACGTGCGAATTCACGCAAAATCAGTCTCAACCCTCCACGCTAAACACAAAATTTTCACAGACCCCTTCCACTTGTGTTAACACACACTCACACACACAAACACATCCACACACATCCACACACACTCAACTCTCTACAGGTGCAGCGCCCTGGTGTGCTGGAGCAGGTGGCCCTCGACCTGTACCTGATGCGCCAGGTGGCGGTGCAAATTGGGAAGCTGCCCGACGTCAACACGGACTGGGCGTCACTCATTGACAACTGGGCCGTGCGGTGAGGGGGCATAAATGAATGTCTGAGGGACTGCGAGAGACATCCAAGCTTCATAGTGCACTTTCTTTCCGTCCAGCTGTCACTCTCATGTTGAAGCCGATCAAGAGGCAGAGGTTGAGGCGCCACCTGATTCGGGCAGCGGCAGCCAGTATGAGGTCCCATTTTTGGAGTGTATTCCATACAGACCCTTGGTTACACCATCAGCGTGGTCCACCACCACCCCGACCCCGCAGCTTCCTGCACGAGATGGACTACGCGAGGGAGGCCCAGAATGCGCTGACCTGGCGGGGGCAGATGGCGGCCGCGGGCGTGGACGGTGTCACCATCGCGGAGCCGGTCGCGGCGCTGTGCACCGGCACGGTGCTCACCACCGAGTGGGTCGAAGGTGAGAGGCGCACGCGCCACTCAGCAGACCCTGACAGGCCTGTATTTGGTCGCTTCTTACCGCAGGGCTGGGCTTTCGGAACCTGTTGCACCACAGCCGTGCTGATTGGTTGGTGAGCGTCCGCAATGCCTGCGCGTCAAGCAGCCTTGGTGCCAAGCCGTGCGAAGCGGCACGCGCCGCTGTCTGCTTCTGAACGCGCGCTGCGCCGGCTGGCCCGCGCGCAGGGGAGAAGCTGTCAGAGTCTGATGCGGGGGACGTGCGCACGCTGTGCACCACGCTGCTCAACGCGTACCTCATCCAGCTGCTGGACACCGGCTTCCTCCACGCGGGTGGGCAGTGCGGGCACGGGCTGGCGCGGGCTGCAGTGTTGTTGCAATGTCATTGTTTGCATTCTCTTGCAAACAAAGGCATGTTGCTGGGCTGGTGCCGTCAGAACGACAGGTCAACGCTTGAGGGACGGGAAAATCAAGTATGTTACTTGCAACAGCAGTGCCGCAGCGTTGCTTACAACCCGCATTGTTTGCTCCGTCAACCGCCCGCTGATGCATTGAACGCTTGCCCTGGCCCATCTCTGCCTCTGCAGACCCCCACCCGGGCAACCTCATCCGCACCGTCGACGGCAAGATCTGCGTGCTGGACTTTGGGCTGGTGACGGAGGTTACGCCCGAGCAGAGGGTGGCCCTGGTGCAGTACATCGCACACCTCACAACACAGGTGGGCGGCACGCATCGCCCACCCTGGGGCGCGTTGGGGGGTAAATGTCGTGTGTGGAGGTGGATGGGGTCGATGGATGCGCGGGCTCCCCAATCAGCATCTACGGGTGCCGCCAGGTGCAAAGACGGTCGGAGTAGTGAACATGCCCAATGGCGTTGGTGGCACGAGTTCAATCGACTTCTCAATCCCGCGAGCCGAACCATACCGCGACCCCTCAGTTGCCACACACATCACACACAAGCATGCAATTACGCAAGCACACAATCACACAAACGCACAATCACACGCAAACAACACACACCGCAGGACTGGCCCAACGTGGCGCGCGACCTCCAGACGCTCGGCTTCATCCCCGCCGAGGCTGGGGACCCCGCCACCCTGGGGCTGGTGGAGCCCCTGGGCCGCATCCTGAGCCAGCTCAGCGGGGGAGGCGGCGCCACCAAGATCAACATTGACGCGTGAGAGCCCGGGGTCCGGGTCCAGGGATCCAGCTCCAGTGGTTTTGGAGATGAAGCTTCGGTGGTTTCGCACCTTCCCCCCTTCGCGCGCGCCGCTCGCCGACTTGAGGCCATGCAGCCCGCTCGGTGCCATGGTTTCGTGCGAGCTGCCTGGGGTTGGAGCCGCCCTGCCAACCTTCCCATGCTGCAACTGCCTTCGGCCCCATTCCAGACCTCGGCCATCCCCTCTGCGACGATCCACGTCCGCATCCCTCACACCCCTTACCACACGCGCCCCCTTCCAAACAAAAGTGTGATGGGGGAGCTGGAGGGCCTGGGGCGCGACTACCCCTTCTCCATCCCCCCGTTCTTCGCGCTCATCCTGCGGGCCTTCAGCGTGATCGAGGGCATCGCCCTCAAGGTCGACCCAGACTACGCCATTGTACAGGTGCCCCGGGGGCCGCGGCAGCAGCGGCTGAGGGC